CCTGAGGCCAGACTATGTTGTAATTTGTGCCACCTTCCAACAACATGTATTACCTTAGACAATCAGCAGTGACTAATATACTTGGTTTCTGCCATCTTAAAACTTTATCATGACTAAAACAATTAAACAAAATAAAATTAAGTGATTCTGCAAAAAAAACACCTAAGTCCCTAAACCTTTCTTTTTCCAACATTCATGGTATTTGTACTAATTTCTGCAATGTTGCCCAGATATCCAAGCTTTCTGTGAAACTAACTTAAGCACTTCAATTTCTACCACTGAATAGTTCTCACGTTTCTCCCCTGTGGAACTCTCTTCTTTATTGCTCCTCTGCCACCTACAATCATCAAAAATTCAAATGTCAATCACAATATTCTGTCTTCTTGAATCTTATTCTTCTATTGTTCTTTTTTCTCACTAAAGACTTCTCCTTTTTATTTCATTCCCAGTAACTCCTTGTATCTTAGTGGCTTAGTGTCTTGCTTGGGATGAAATAATTCAAAAAAATATCACATCATCAAGTTTAGTAGAAGAAAAATGAAAAATTTAAGACAATGAATTCCAACATAAATGAGAAGCATGGTGGTGGCAGTGGAATAAACAGGGAGGGATTGTTTTACTTCAAATAATTAAAGTATGCATGGCTTAAGCCATATAGTAAGATATGTTGAACAAGAACTTACATCAAGTTTTTAAAAATGAACTGCAGTTGGATGATTTAGCATGACAAGAGTTCTAAATATACCACCACAGTGTTGGGATATCTACTAACAAAAGTGATGGAAAGAAAAAGACTCTAAATGAATACATTTTTGAATGTATGGATATTTTTTTATGTGGTGTTATAAGAATGTTTTATTTTCCAAACACTGCCAGCAAATTGTGGCTGTGTTCATAGTTGATGTTATTGAGTGTTAGCTTTTTCTTTTTTTTTTTATAATGTTTCCATTATTTTTAGCCATTTTTTCACATGTGGATAATGCTATTATATTTGTTTTTCAATATTTTTCTGTCCCTCCAACTTTCACCATCCACTTACTCAAGATTTTTAGGTCAGTTACTCATTGTTACCCTCTGTTCCTTTTATGCCCTGTGAGTGTCAAATTTCCAAAGCTGTCTTTCTTTACTATGAGTCTTTGAACTTTTAACAGCCTCAGATATAAAACATTGAAATATACACCTACATACATTAAACTGCTTTAATCTATACTGATATGCACGTTACTAAAATGTACCTATATTTTCTTACATTTACAAATGCGAACAATACATTTTGTTTCCCACCTGATGTTATTTCTACTATTACCCTCCGTTACTACCTACATGTGAACCTAACTTTCAGAATACAGGCATGCAATCAGCCTTTATAAATGATCTGTTCCTTTACGGCCCACCTTCCACCTTTGCAGTTGGTTGTCAGTAGCCCACACACATTACATCTCCCTGTATGTCTCCAGTTCATTGCTTGCCTGTCCCCATCGATTACACATTGTCCTCTTTCTCAATTGCCCATGCTAAACCTCTAACCCTTATAACTCCCAATCCTCCAATCTGACCTCCAACACTGAAACCACCTTTCTTATTTCCACTTCCAGCTTTTATAACCTTTCTACTTTCCCTCCCTCCATTTATTTATGTCACTGCCATAACTCTACACTGCCAATTCCTCAAACCTACCAATCATTGCATCAACTGCTATTTTTCTTTCTCTTCCGGTGTTTACTTTTACCTCTTCCTAACTGTCTTTCCCTTTATCAGTCTTTTTTCTTCTTTATTTAATTTATTTACTCTTTTTGTTCTTCCATTTCATTTTTCTCTTTACATCTGTCATTTTAACACCTTTTAACATGTAACGCTTTCTCTTTTTTTTGTTCTACACCTTTCTTATTTACCTTTTATTTATTCATTATTCTTTACCTTACTCCTATCTCTCACCCCACCCCAATTCATATTTACCATTTTCTTTCTTAATTTCATTCCGTTCCTTAAGTCGTTGTTTTCTGTCATTACAGATTTTTACTCTTTTGTTTGTTCCATTTCATTATTTACTTAATTTTCTAAATTTCTTCAGTTTTAACATTCCTTCTTTCTTTTATCTTCTTTTTTGTTCATCTTTCTCTATTTCATCATCCCTCTAATTTTCATTCATTCTTTCTTCTCGTTTTCTCCTTCAATATTTTCCTCCCCTTTTTCTTCTCCTTTTCTCCTCCATTATTTCCCTTCCGTTTTTCTTCTCCTTTTCTCCTTCAATATTTCCCTTCCTTTTTTCTTTTACTTTTCTCCTTCAATATATCCTTTCCTTTTTCTTCTCCTTTTCCCCTTCAATATTATCTCCTTTTTCCCTCTCCTATTCCTCTTCAATATTTCCCTCCTTTTTTCCCTTTCCTTTTCCCCTTCATTATTTCCTTTCCTTTTTTCTTCTCCTTTTCTCCTTCAATATTTCCTTCCCTTTTTCTTCTCCTTTTCCCTTTCAATATTTCCCTCCTTTTTTACCTCTCCTTTCCACCTTCAATTTTTTCCTCCCTTTCTTTCTGTTTTCTCATCAACAATTTCTTTCTACATTTATTATCTTGTCTTCACTTTCCCTTTTCTTTCTCAATGAAGCCAAACAAAAGAACAGTCTCCCAGGCTGTATTACAATGCACCAACCAACACATCCTCTTCTCAGCCTGCAACTTGAGAGGATTCACTCCTACAACCACCAACTCCATTGCCATTCACTCTCTGCCACACAGTTAATTACACAAATTCAAAAGGTAAATCACCCTTGCTCCAGTCTTACCCCAATGACAACCTCAAACCTGCCACACCCTCCAGAGTTGTTCCCTTTTCACTCAATATTCTTTGGCTGTTCGTCATTACTAGGATATGTTAGCACTCATCAGTAGTTGGGCTCCACCAATATTTACCCAACATAGGTTAATTATTGACTGCTTTCCTTCCAGTGTGTATATGTGCTTTTTGCACAAATATATACAGAAGTGTAGATTTCCATATACACACAAGAACAGTGATCACACAATAGCATATACAGACATTGCAGATCATTTAAGCTAGTGTGTTTATGTATATTTCTATGCATTTACAAATTCATAGTTATACATACACATTCCAACTCAAGTATGATTACATGTGTTTGTGTGGGTAGACACATATATATATATATATATATATATATATATATATATATATATATATATATATATATATATATACATATATATATATATAAAATTATTTATTTGAATCAACACCATCACTTGATAAGACACTAGAAAGGTTGAAACAAAATTGCTATTTTTGTAGTGATTTTATAACATATTTATGTTATAATTTTCAAATAAATAATTATATTTGCTCTACTCTGTATTGAGCACTCTTTTTAAGAAAAGTATTTCTTGATTATTGGAAGTTATTCAGTATACACCAATCCTATACTTTGATATATATATATATATATATATATATATATATATATATATATATATATATATATATAAAAACATTTAAACCATAGCAAGGCAACAAGATGCCAGTAAGACAGAAGATAACGATTAACATTACACTTAAATTTGTTAAGATCAAATTTGACTGGAAAGGCCAGCAAAGACTCCCACAAGTGAGAATTAAAAGAGAAGAAGCTGTTAGCATAAAACTCATGGTTACATCTAATCATTTCACCTATAAAATGACAAGATCTTGTCACCAATCTAGTACTGTGCTTAAATTCATAAAGTCTAGGTACCATAGAAGAAAGTCATATTTATTATGTAAAGATACAAAAATCTGGCACAGGGCCAAAAGTGGGGTGAGAGAAGGTTGGTTTTCTTCTGTCTTATAATTAAACCTAGCTAGCCACAATTACTGACCCAAACATACCACAGTATTCCTTATGCCAAAACAACACATTCTTATTTATGATTCTTTCTACAGTCACCATAATACTTCAAAGTTTCTATAAGGTTATAACTAGTCCCCATATGTACAATTTTTATTGAGGGGAAGGGATAAAAAAGAAAAAAAGAAAAAGAAAAAAACAATTTTAAAAAATCTATCCCAATGTTTATTTACAATGTATTTTAATATGTATTTACAAGTAACTAAATAAAATAGTACCATAGAGGAAAGTCCATTAAAACAGTTACCATATAAGTATTTATAGAAAAGGCAGAGGGAAGCTACAAGTTACAGTGGTGGGAAAGGACTGAAACCAAGATGCCAGATCAAGGCCAATGACACTGCAGATTCTTTTTTGGATTTTATCAAGGATATCTAAATATATAGCAGGTGCATCAGACCAGAAATTCCTCAAATCTTTGAGTAGTATCTTCTATATATATTCATCATTTATTGACCCTGCCCCTTCAGGGCGTGAGTGAGCATAGCCCTCCATAACTAAATATATAGCAGAAGCACCAGACCATATATATATATATATATATATATATATATATATATATATATATATATATATATATATATATATATATATATATATATATATATATATATATATATAGTAGACCTTTTCAAATATATATAAGTATGTAAATCTTTCTTTTAGGCTTTTTTAGTTTTCTGCATGATAATTACTAATATACATCAAAAGACAGAAGCAATCAAAAAAGAGTGTTTTGCATAAGTTAACTACAGTCTGAAGTTATTGTGCAAATCAAATAAACCTCAGTAACTCAAAAATTTTTGAACCAATATTTGTCAAATTTAAACTCATCCATTTCCACCATTAGTAAACTATTTAACTAAATTTTCTACCATTTTTAATGGCTAGTTTTTGAGATATTTGGAATTTATAAAAATGAACTGACTGAAGTTAACATGCAGATTAATCTAATATTAGCTTAAGACCTCTGAAATCTAATAAAAAATATTTTTTCTTTTTGTTCAAAGTATATGTTGAAACATGGGTTAATGGAAAGATCTAACAACTGCTGAGAAATAGAAAATAAGTTATTGAGTGAGGGAATTTTTACATTGGAGATATCAAAGCAGCTTTGAAGAGATCATCAAATGAAAGAATGCTGTTGAAAATATAAGTTAAGAACTCAAAGCAAATAAAAAGCTTTAAGAACTTGCTTTCTCGAGATGAATGTAAACTAATACAAATTATGATAAAACAACCACTTTTGACCAGCGTACAAATATTTGAAAAGGCTTGAATTGAGGGAGTCAAGGACAAAAGGCAAACTTCTCTCACTGAAGCAAATATTTTAAAGCATCAAAATTGGGCCAAGAAATACACAAAAATTGACTTTTCTAAAGTAATTTTCATGGGGTGACATTAGATGGACCTGATGGATGGTCTAAAGGATGGATTTTATCCAACTCAGATGTGCCTGTGGTTAAAAGAAGACAAGGAGTTGGTAGTATTATGATATGGGCTGGAATTGTCAACCAAACCATTATTTGATCATTCAAATTCAATGAAGCAGTTAAACTGGACATTGTTAACTACTGAGATTTTATAAACAAGAATTTCTTTGCATGGTACAAGTCTTAGTCTTGCAACTTCAAAGTGAAGTATGTATTTATGCACAACAATGCTCTTTCTTATGTATCTAAGTTTACCCATGAATTATTTGAGCATAAAAGATTTATAGGGAGAAAATAATGGAATGGCCACTATAAAGTCCTGATCTGAATCTGATCGCAGATCAATGGTCAATTGTGAAGGTGAAATTATATAAAGGTGGCAAACAATGTAACAGCAAAGCAGACCAATAGTAAGCAATTAAAACTATCATGTTGGAAATTGATCCTGCTGAAGTAAAAAAAATTAACAAGATCAACAGATAATAGATTATTGGATGTTATTGAGAAGAAGGGTCACTATATTAAAATCTAAAAGATTCAAAAACTTATTATATGTGTTTGTTATTTGTTCTATTATAGGTGTTGATCAATTTTTAAGGATTTTATTACCTTTTAATTGAAGTAAAATGTGATTATTTGGTTTTGCCTAATAACTTCAGACAGTAGTTTTTTTAGAATACATCAAATAACTTCAATAAAACATATTGGTACTACCTAAAATTTTAACTCAGTCTTTGTTTTGACATCTAAATTGAATTTGTTTGAATTTGACATTTTTTTCAAACCAAGTTTGAATTATTGAAGTTTGTATGATTTCCTTAATAACTTCAGACAGGGTTTAGAAAGTACTCAGAAAGTGGATATTTCCATCAACACCTTTGTCAGTAACCGTCCTGGATATGACGATAAACTACATCCACGTCATGGGTAAGATGATAAACTATGTCCAGCAGCAAGGCCTCTGATCAGGAGGTTTTGAAGAGCATGGAACCACCTCTTAATTGCTGATATTTCCAAGTCCACCCTGACCCAGGATGGAAACACCTGTTAGAGTCCCAGCTATGGGCGAATAGTAAACTCCAAAACTGGGGTAAAAACTCTATGAAAGTGTAAAAAGAGGTCTTAATACCAGAAATACTTTAAAAAATTGTTACCAGCAATAAATTTTTGAAGAAAAAAAAACCTATTACCAGCAATACAATTTTGAAAAAAAAATATTACCAACAATGTTTTTAAAAAATAAATATTACCAGCAATACATTTTTGAAGGAAAAATATTACCAGAAATAGATTTTCGGACTATTGTTCTCATCTTCGTCGCCATATTTATTACGTTTCAGCTGTTGTACGCTCCTGCCTTCTTCAGGTGGTTGGAATGTTGAACTGAACCCCTTATTTCGCTCACTGGGGTAGACTGTTCTAGTTCCACATTCCAACCACCTGAAGAAGACCGGAGCATACAACAGCTGAAACATAATAGATATGGTGATAAAGATGAGGACAATAGTCCGAATAATGTAAATAATGTAAATAATACCTCATCTCAGAAATATAGACAGATATATTAAAATATTACCAGCAATAAAAATTTTGTCCGCATTAAATAACCAATTGAGGTTGATATGCTGTAAAACAAAACAAACAATCTAAACCTTTGTTAGTAAAACTGAATGAATCAGTTACATGTTACAGACTGTTCTTTAACAGTAGCTTGTAATAACAACAAGAAAGTCATACTTGCTTTTCTAGCAAGTATTGAGAATTACATTCTCAATACTTGCTAGAAATTCTTGATGTAATTTTCAATACTTGCTAGAAAAATTTCTTGATAATTTTTTTTTAATAAATATTAGGTTGTCACACATGGTCCAGTCATCTAATGAAGTAACCGCCTTAGTATATAAAAAAAATCTTGACTTATTCTGACTCTTACTTTCCAGATAATTTTTCTTTCAATATATTCTTATAAGCCCAATGAAACAATGTCGAGTAATCTTATGGCATGGCTACAAATTTGAAGAAAAAAACAACATTTTGCATGGTTTTTGAGGTGAAAACCTGTGACAATAAATTTAATTTATGATGCCCACTTATCGTCAGAGATTCAAAGACATTTTTTTCCTAACAATGTTTTTGTCTTTATTATCAAACTGAAGAAGCCAAAGAGAATATACATTTTCTCAGGTGGCAAAATGTGGATTTGATGAAAAAAAAATTTCCACTTTGTCTCATCATCTTCAATTTTGTTTCTGATATTATACATCCTATAAATGCACATTTACTTATATTTAAGTGCCTTTGGGAAAAGTATGAATCCGCATCTTCTCCCTCTAGCTATAAGTTAATTAGTAGGACTTATTAGTATGATTAAATCATGATTATCTCCAAAACATCCTTAGAATCTAAAATATTTTATGGCTGTAAATAACCAGCAAAAGGTTGATAAACCATAAAAACAAATCAATGAGTCAATCAAAGTATCAGTTAAGGAGAGTGAGACTGGACTAAAAATAATGAATTATTTCTTTTGTGTTTTTTTATATGCATATCAAGTATTTCATACACACTTCAAGACATACTGTTTCCTGTGGTCAGTTTAGCCATATTTTCCCAATATACAATTTATTCAGAAATTGGGAAAATACAATAAAAAATTTAAAAGGACTGAGAATGTTGGTTGTATTTAATGAAACTTATTCAGATGAATACTTGTGGCTTAAATATGCCTAAAATCTACCCTATGTAAAAATAATGTTTATGAATTCTTATGTTTTGGGGGAGATTATATCTCCAACACTAACAGTCAACATGAAACATGAAATTCATAGATTGGCCACACATACAGCATACATTCTCTTAACTTGCCATTTGTCAAAATTTAGTGTAATTCATGCATATATCAATCAAAATTTAACAAATAAACAAAATAACATTAACATAAGACAAATTTTAGTAGATAGCACCAAAATATTATATAGGATACAGTGCAAAGAAAAACTCAAAATTCTGGAGGCTGTTGTAATAAAAGAAAAGCAGCCATCATTAAATAAGGTATCTCTCTCTCTCCATAGGTGATTGTATATTGAAGTGTGTTTTAAAAAAATATATATAAAAATTCCAGTTTGCCTGTTTTAATGACAACACCTTGAGTGACTTGAAATTGGTTCCAGCAAATATGAGAATGTTGGAATTAAACAAAAACAGTTGCATAAATATACAAAAAAAAAACACAGTCTTTGAAAACAAATGTATCAGCATTCAAAAGTGCTTTGGAAAAAAAATAATATAAAATAAATATGAACTTTGGCAAATTTACCAATAACATAATCAACTAATTTGAAAAATTTAATAAAAAAAATAGATAGGCAGAACTTGTTAATATTATGCAACAAAACATGTTTGAAAGAATTATTGCTTCTGAAGCACACCTTATTTATACACATAGACACACACATATACACATACACACAAACATACACACACACACACATATATATATATATATATATATATATATATATATATATATATATAAACATACACACGTATACACACACACACACATATATATAAGCTTCGCACTTCTAAGCTGTCAATGTCAATATAGATCTTCTTGTTGGTTGAAATAGCTATTCGAATGAGTAAATTTGGATTTATATTCTATGTAATATATATATATATATATATATATATATATATAATATATATATATATGAATAATACCAATTGATAATTCCAAGGAGGACATTAATCCAAAGAGAGCTCAATATAAGTAAAAAAGCAATATAATAATAATAATAATAATAATAATATTTCTTGACTTATTATATATATATATATGTGTGTGTGTGGGTGTGTGTGTGTGTCTAGTTTTATATCCAGTTTTTAGAATGGTAATAAAGTAATAAGGAAGAAAGAAGATTGATAAGGGGAAAGAAAGATGTGCAACAAGTAAACACAGGACTAAAAAGAGAAAAGAGTAAATATAGAAGTTGATGTAATTGTTTAAACTATTTCTTCTGGATTGCATCACGAAATATACTTTACAGCCTCAAATAAAAATTATGATGAAAAATATCAAAATTGGATATCAGGCTTAAATGTCTAGACCATTTTGTAATTCCTGAGACAAGCAAAAATATTGGTTTGTGGGAAACAACTGTTGAATTAAATATTCTTTGGATAACAATGAGTTTATTTTGTGAATATACCTATAGAAACTGTTTTTTTTTTTTACTTATACAAGGTTTTATTTACCTTTTATGCCTGTAGAGATAGATGAAAATGCAGAATATACATTGAAAGCAGGTTTGTTTGTCTTTTTAAGTAAATTAATCAATATATTGACATTTCCAATCCCTATTTTATCAATTACCCCTTGCTAAGTTATTTTGATCAATAAGTATATAAAGCATTCCTTTCATATATGAACATGTACTACTCTATTCATATTATTGTATTAGCCACTACTGGCTGATTTAAATTTCTCACAGAGGAAGGTTTGTGTTTTTAATTTTTTTTTTACATTATATCAATAATCACAGTTGAAGCAGGCTTACAGCCACATCATATTGAAACACCAGTTCCTGTACAATCACTGAAGTTAAGCAACATTGAGACTGGTCAGTACCTAGATGAGTGACTATTTGGAAATACCAGGTGCTGTAAGCTTGGATGTGCAGGTGGTGTAATGATAATGGCTTGGTATTGTTAATTGGAGAGACAAGTTTCAATTCCTGTTAGGTTCATAACATTCACGTATGTGCAAATATCCTTGAGAAAGGTATGAATCTGTGGAATCTTCCACGTCAGCCAGTCACCTCTACGTGGGTAAATTAAACTATTCCCTGTAGGTGAATATATGACAAGCATTCATTGGTTAATCTACTTCAAACTAGCTTGCTGATTGGTCAGTTCCGACCAATCAAACTGCCTGCACGCAACAAATCTGTTTTCCCGCGTTCTCCATCCAAGCCGGTCATGTGATACCTGATCATATATAAACAAAAACACGTGTAAACTCTCTCTCTCTCTCTCTCTCATGTCTCATTCCTTGCTGCCAAATGTAATCTTCATGAATTCCCGTCTTAACCTTTGCGGTCAGATGTTAAAGACCATTATCAACATTTATGCAAGTACGAACTCTGAAATCTCTTCTGAACTTTTACCAACTTGTACAATACACAATTCCAAACATGCAACAACTCATTCTTCTACAGTTTAATAATCAACTTCTTCTTTATGAGCTTAGGTAAAAATATTTCCAAGTCTAAGAGACACAATTCTGTCTAACCTTTCAGTTCACATGCATGTATATCAAATGCTTAATAAATTCAATTGTTACGTTTTGAAACAATACGTCATGATTTGTTTCTAATATTTTTCTTTAATTGTTGTGGATGAATGTTATTAGAACACCAACACTAAAAATCCTTCTGATCACTCAAAATACATTTGCCAGTCTGCAACAAATCCACCTCTGAACAAGACTTGTATCACTAAACCATTATTAGCTCAAAAAAAATTCTCAAAATCTAAAAATAGGTTGATAAGCTGGAAAAAACAAATCAATATATCAAATACTTATTAGTTACACAGACATGTCTTTTAGATTTATTTACATTCTCTGTAATATGAATGTATAGGAACTACCATGACCACAAAATGAAGGATCAGTTTATATATTGATTGTAATATAGAAGTGATCCCCCACCTTATATCCATATTATAGTTTCTTGTTTATCAAATTCTGATTAGGTATGAATCCACCTCTTTCTCACCCTACTGCTATGGGTTAATTAGTAAGACTTGTATCATTAACCCATCATTATTCTTAAAATGTAAAAATATTTTCTGGCTTTAAATAGCCTAGGTTGATAAGCCATAGGAAACAAATCAAATAATTGAAGCAGTCTGAACAATATATGATGAGGTGCTGAAAAGTTCTTGGCCTAAACCACTTCCAAAATCTGACCATATGTCCAAAGATCAGATTTTTATTTGGAAGGATCTCTTAGTTAAGTCAAGAAATTTTCAGCACCCACATCAGGGCCATATATTGAGCCAATCATAATTAGTTCAAAATAGATACAGAGAGACAGAGAGAGAGGAGAGAAATTTATAAATATAATATATTTGTACTATTCTTAGTTTATAAAGCTTTCTAAGAGAAAGAAAACACTGATTTCAAACCTCTGCTGCTTTGTGGCCTTACCCAATCACAGGAAAGGTTGTGGTGTGGATTTGATCAGGGGAACACTCTGCCCTGGTGACTGACTACAATCAAAGCCCTCCCGCCAGTGATGCCATATCATCACCCCACTGGATACATACATAGCTTTGTCTACCCTATTGTGCTAGAAGGATGTTGACCCTACAAGAAGTTCAGTTTTGTAAAAGTCCCCTTGGGAAAGGCATGATTCCATGGTGCATCTAAAGTTTTCTATACAGCCTTTGTAAGTCAGATACTTTCTGGAATAATCATCTTATGCCAGATGAGACCAAATTATTCAGCCTTAATTCCCATCATTGTATTTGGACAAAGAATTCAAGTAAGAGATCACCATCCTAACTGTCAAGCATGGGGATGGCAATCTAATGGTAGGGTGCTGTTTTTCATTACATGGTACTGGGTGCCTAGATGATACCTACAATTCAACAAAAATTGAATTGAGCCATGTATCAAGATATATTGAAATAGAAATTCCTTACACCAGTTTTAAAAATGAAGTACAATGTGATGTTTCAGTAAAACTTCTTCTTCTATAGGTGATCATGGCTCTCCACAATTTCCTGTCCTTTGTAGCTCTTAGTAAATTTTGTCTTTTTGCTATCTCTCCTAATCACTGTTCTGCCAACCATTTACACAAGTTCATTCTCTTTTTCTTTCTTTGTGCCATGTCCTTTCATGATGTGGGCAACCATGGCTCTCCACAATTTCCTGTCATCTGTAACTCTTAGTAAATTTTGTCTTTTTGCTATCTCTCCTAATCCCTGTTCTGCCAACCATTTACACAATCTAACCAGGTTGGTTATTTGCTGCTTTCCTCTGTCCCTATTGCTTTCAATATGCCCTGTGAGTGTCAAATTTTCCCAGTTTTCTTCCCTCATTATTTGCCCTAGGAATTTCAACTATCTCTTCCTGATAAATTTAAGTGTCCTTTTTGATTGCATTTTCTTTAAAACTTTATCATTGCTCGTATCTTCTCCATGTACATATATGTCTTTTTAGCATGATAATGATCCTAAATATACTGTCCTATGCAATGAAACAATGGTTTGAAAATATGAAAAACAACCTACTGAAGTAGTCCAGTCAGTTTCCTAATCTGAACTCATTGTCTGAAAATTTGTATCTATGCTCATCAGGTAACTTGAAAAAACTGAACAAAATTTATCATGAAGAGTAGTTCAAAATAGCAGTATAAGAATCTTTGGAACTAACAGGTATATATATTTTTTAAATCCTTTTACCCCAAGCTAGGTAATAATGCCACTAAGATGCAAGGGGTTACTGAGTGTGAGAGAATATAAAAAAGAAAACATTATTAAGGAGAGAGAACATGAATTAAAAAAGAAGAAAATGATTGACATTGCATTTAAATCTTTGAAGATCAGACTTTACTGGAAAGCAAGAAGCCACAAGCGAGAAGTGCCAGAGAAGAAACTGTTGGCATAGAATTTATGGTTACATCTCATTATTTCAACTGTGAAATGAAAAGACCTTACCACCAGTCTATTATAGTAAAACACCCAAGTTCATAAAGTCTAGGTACCAAAAAGGAAAGGTCATCAGAATGATTACAATGAAAACATTTATTGAAAATATTTATAGAAAAGGCTCAAGGAAACTACATTATAGCAGTGGTAAAGTGATTGAAGATTAGAAGCAACTGGAGGTTGTCAATTTAAACAAAAGCTATTCCACAAAATATTTGGCTCTGTTTGATTCAGATTTGTATATAGTACTGAATACATTTTTTGTTTCATATTTTAAAAATATATCTTTCTAATTTTATATAAGTGAATTTGTGGAAAGTTTTGTTCGTGGATACTATTGTAAATATGAAACATTTCTCTGGTCTAACTTTGAAATAAATCTTTCTATATGTATAATTAAATAAAACACTAAACAGGTTTTGTGATTCTATTGAATACTTATTACCCCCGCTGTAAACAGACAGTTGCAGTATTTTTTTCTTGAATATCTTGATTGAATACAAGAGGCAGAGCTGCAGTTTAAGACTGTCAGATTCAAATTGGATCTGAGCTAAAGAAGTATATGCCTATGAACAGGAGGCAGGCAAGAGATGATGTATTGAGGAACACATTGGATTATCATTGTGGTCCTGCAGGGTGAATTTGTACAGAAATTCAATAAAATAAAGGAAAGAGAATTCTTTCTAAGAAAGGAATACATTTTGAAGTCTATATATTTTGCTTGAAGGCATTCCTCAAATACAATAAATGAAGTGATCTCTTTTCTCAAAATTTTAATACAATGAATCATCAATTCTATAAGGGAAATTCTGATCCTTTTGATCTTGACAATGGAAAGATAATTTGACTGACAATTTGTTTACTTCTCTCATAAGAAGCAAGGTTATGATTAAAAATATTTTTTATGCAAGGTGATTGACACATAGCGCGCACACACACACACACACACATATATATATATATATATATATATATATATATATATATATATATATATAAATGTTCAGATAAAGTATATATGTAAAAGGACAATGTGAAAAAAAAGACAACCATTTTCTCCTGCCTTGAGAGTAGTTCAACTAAGTCAAAATGACAGCCAATGTCCAAAACAACTTCACATTCGTTGTTAACTGGGGCAAAAGATGGCTTGTTAATTTTAACACCTCCAAAACTAAACTTCTCTCCATTAATCATATGAGAGAACCCTCTCTACCTTCCATCAGCATGGCTGATACTAACCTCCAGGAGAGTGATTCGTTGCACCTTCCAAGGCTTATGTTCTCAACTGACATGAATTGGAAAGACTACATTGAATCTATTGTTAGGTCAGCTGCTAGGAAAGTCAGTTCACTGTGTTGTGTGAGACAATTTTTCTCTCTAGAATCTATCTTACATATCTATAAGTCTACTATTCATCCATGCTTAGAATACAGCTGCCACCTATGGTCTGGTGCCCCTGCTAATTACCTTGAGTTCCTTGATAAGATCCAAAGAAAAATCAGCAATATTATTGGTCCTGATCTGGTGGCTCAGCTTCATTTACTTACCAACTACTGTAAAGTTGCCTCTCACTGTCTTTTCTATAAATACTTTCATGGTAATTGTCGAATGAGCTCTTCACTCGGGTACTCACACTTTATGAATTTAAGCACATTACTAGATTGGGATTGAGATATCATCAATTTACCGTTCTACAAGTTCTACGCTAACAGTTTCTTTTCTTGCACTTTTTGCTTCGGAACTCCTTTTGGGCTCCATGCTTTCCAGCCGACTTTAATCTTCAAAAATTTAAATGCAATATCAGTTGCTATCTTCTGCACTCCTGATTACTCTTTTCTCTTTTCATTCATCATTAATGTTTTTGTTTCTAATTTTCCCACACTCTGTAACCTTTTGTGTTTTAGTGGCTTTACTACCTTGCATGAAGTGATACTGACTAAAAAAAAATGC